TTCCCCCCGATCCCCCCCAGATGTCCTCCCCGGAGGAGACGCTGCTGCTGGTTGAGCACCGCTACGTGTGCTCCGAGTGCTCCCACCTGTCTCCATCCCTGGAGGAGGCCCTGCTGCACCACCAGCAGCACCTGCAGCCCCCGCCGGCTCAGGTGAGCCCCCAGGTGAGCCCCCAGACGCCTCACCTGGAGCTCCTGGGGGTTCCGGCCGAGCTGGAGGCTCCCAGCCAGTTCCAGTGCCTGGAGTGCGGCGCCCTGCTGGTCACACCTGGCCAGCTGCTGGAGCACCAGGAGCTCCACCTCAAACTTTTGGGGGCGCCCTCGGAGCCCCCCAAGCCGACCCCCAACTCCTCCGCCATCCACTTCGAGTGTCCCGAGTGCCGGGCGCTCTTCCAGAGCCAGGAGCTGTGGCTGGCTCATCGCCAGGGCCACCGGAACGCGACGGCCCCGAGCCACGCCAGGGTGGACGTGGAGCACTCGTACCGGAAACCGGAGGAGGGCGGCGACGGCGGCGGCGACGCCGAGATCGCCGCGGAGATCCCGGCCGAGGTGGCCGAGCCGAGCTCCGCGGTGGCCACGGGCGCGGAGAGCTCCGTGCAGCTGCTCCTCTACGAGTGCGGCGAGTGCCTGCAGCTCTTCCAGAGCCCCAAGGATTTCTTGGAGCACCAGGTGACTCACCTGGCACCTGGGCAAGCGCCTCCCGCGCCCGCTCCGGCGCCTTCGCTTCCGCCGGAGCTGCGGTGCCAGCACTGCCGGGAGCTGCTGCCGTCGCCGCGGCTCCTGCGCGCTCACCTGCGCTGCCACGCCCTGGGCCAGTTCCGCTGCCCGCTGTGCCCGCGGGTTCTGCCCGATCCGGGCGAGCTGCGCCGCCACCGCGCCGGCCACGCCCGGGACTCGCTGTTCCTGTGCCTGGAGTGCGGCTCGGCGCTGGACACCGAGGCGGCGCTGCTCGCCCACCGGCGAGCGCACGGCTCCGAGCCTCTGCACCGCTGCGGCGCCTGCGGCAAGAGCTTCGCCAGCTTCACCAAATTCCTCTACCACCGCCGCTCCCACGCCGCGCCGGGCCCGCTGCCGTTACCGGAGCCTCCGCCGGAGCCTCCACCGGAGCCGGAGCCGCCGCTGGAGTGCGGAGCGTGTCCCAAATCGTTCCCGAGCGCGGCGGCGCTGGCGCGGCACCAGCGCTTCGTGCACCGGCTGGAGCGGCGGCACCGCTGCGGCGCGTGCGGCAAGATGTTCAAGAAGTCGTCTCACCTGCGCAACCACGCCCGCACGCACACGGGCGAGCGGCCCTTCCCGTGCGGCGAGTGCGGCAAGAGCTTCAACTCGCACGCCAACCTGCTGCGCCACCACCTGACGCACACGGGCGAGCGGCCCCACGAGTGCCCCGAGTGCCACAAGCGCTTCGCGCAGAACTCGACGCTGCGGCAGCACCTGCAGGTTCACCTGCGGCGTTTCCCGCACCGCTGCGGCGAGTGCGGGCTGCGCTTCCACCGGCCGCACCGGCTGCTGCTGCACCGCGCCCACCACACGGGCGAGTATCCCTACAAATGTCCCCAGTGCGGCCGCACCTTCCTGCTCAGGAGGCTGCTGGACGTTCACCTGTTGGCGCACGCGGGCCGGGAGCCTCAGGTGTGTCAGGGCTGCGGCGCCGCCTTCGCCGGGGCCGCGGCGCTGCGGGAGCATCGCTGCGGGAAGTCGGGCTGGAGGTTCGAGTGCGGCGTGTGCGGCAAGAAATCGGGCACGGCCGCTCGGTTGCGAGCCCACGAGAGGCTCCACGGAGCCGCGGCGGGCGAGGGAGGCGTTCAGGAGGTGGCCCAAGTGGCCACCGCGCCGAAAACGGCGCCGGTCAAACGCGGCAGCGGCAAAAATTTGGAGTGCGGCGATTGCAAGAAGATGTTCAGCACCGAGACGTCGCTGCAGGTGAGTGAGGGGCGCAGGGATCACGAAAAATTCTGATTTTTACAGCCCCGGAGCCGCGCGCCGGGCGCCGCCCTAATTACGGCCAGAGCCGTTATTTACGTTGTAATTAATTAATTAATTAATTACACTTGGCGCTTTCCCTTTCCCAGCTCCCGGGGCAGCGCCCGGCTCAGCTCCTCGCACA